CATGCGGCTGGATTCGTTGTTGCTTCAGATATCGGAACCGTTCTGTGCCGTTACTTTTAATAAAAAAGAATAATTATCATAAAAAATAAATAAATAAATCTGCTGGATATTGCTAGCTGTTCCTTTTCCGCGTTCCAATTCAGAAAATCACCAAACAGAAAAAGAAAAAAAAATATAGCCGAATTTTCATTTTCGAGGGTCCAAGAAATTAACAGAATAAAATTTCCTCACTGAATTTTCGAAGAAAAAAGGAAAATACAGAGAGCGAGAAAATTATCCGAAAATAGAGAAGGGAGGTTAAAGATATTTGGTTTCCATTTTCTGGCAAAAAGATACCAACACCTCGTCTCTCTTTTCACTTTATTCTTCAGCTTTGGCTTCTCTTAGGGTTTTTGAGCTTGACGATTCTTCCAGTTTTGACTGCCTCTGAGACTTATTGCGTCAGAGAATTGAACCCTCCGGGTTTCGCCGTCTGGTGTGGAAACTGCTTTTTCGGAGCCACTTCAGGTCAGCTATGCATTAATTGGAGGATTGTTAGCTCTTTTTTTTTTCAGTTTTGATTTTAGGTTCTGCTTGGATGCCGAGAAAATGAAGGAAAAGAAATGTTGTTGCTGGTTTTAGTCTGCTGGTATTCTAGGAAGTGAAAGCTTATTAGTCCAATTATTTGTTATTACTTGTTGGGCTACTTTTGTTGCATATTCTTAGCAGATGAACTGGACATCACTAGGGATAGTACTTATCAGTTATCAAAGGTCCTGTAATATTAGCAAATTGTTTTTTATTTATTGTGTTTTTAAACAATTCAATTTATAAATGTTTTGGTAGATGATTCATTTATTAGTGTCTGTAATTAAGTAGCATTTTAATCTGGTTTCTTATTCAGAAGATGTTTCAAGGTTGATGAATTGCTGCTTGAATTTCACTTCAGAATGACTGCAGCTTATTTAGATTTATAGTTTATAATTTTATGGCTCTGATAATCTTATAGTCTTACTAGTGTTTCTGGATGTAGGTACTTGCACGTGGTTCCTCACTGAACAAATTCCTTTATAGAGCGTCGTCTAGAGTTGGTTGAATGAAATCAGTATAGGCAGCATGGATGATCTAGTGGCTGAGGAAGTGACCTCAT